AAACTTCTCCTATAGGTAGGGCAATGCCCACTTTTGGTGTAGGTCAAGATTTCTGGTAACCCCTGACATCTGGCTTAGCCCGCTTGTCCTTAAAAGTGACCAATGACGTGTGGCGGAGTCGTAACACTGGACAGTCGACGTGCTTTCCCCCAACGTTTTATTTTGTTTGCCTTGTCACTACCGAGTCGTTCATTGCTATGCCGTAATTTTTTTGTCGTATTTTTCCAAGGTGCTGGCTGCCAAGCAATGTTTTTTTGTTTTGCTTATTATTGCGCTGTAGAACGTGCTCTGTTCCTGTGTCATCGCGTAGATGTACTTTGTCATATCGGTACTAACATTAACCAAGCTTTTTGTAGAAAAAAAATGATAATCTACGCGGTATGGAAGGTCATAATAAGTTAGCTTTATTTAGTTCAAAGATCTTTGTTTTTCCAAGGCGAAATACGTGTCACAACGCCGCGGAATCAGGCGCTCGGCAACTTTTGTGCCTGTGGATTTATTGGCATCATCTTAAAGCTTGTTCATTTGACTATCTTCCAGTGAAAAAAATACACATCGCGCATAAATAAAAGTGGAGATATTTGCGACTGAAGGAGGTGGGGGTGGCCTGGTTTCAGAGGAAAAACTAGCGAGAAAATGGCAGCTACTAAAGTTTGTTGATTTCCAAAGCTTGAGAGTCCTTGGAAACTGAACATTTGTTGTGCCTTAATCAACGTTTTCCAGTAAAATCCACACAAAATTGTTTTTAAAAAGAACATTAAAAGGTGTTGAGCAAGAAAACAAAAATTCAACAAAAAAAAGAATGGTCAAAGTGGCAGAAAAATGGCAATATCTGTTTTCTTTATTTTGACCAACACCTGATCTCACCGTGATACCTCACATATGGCTGGTGTCTTGTCGTCTGGTCCTCGACTTGCCTCGACCGACTGCGACAATGTCCAGATACAGAACCGACTGAGTTCTATCAGAACGTGGCCCCCGTGGGTGGCTAGTCAGCCGTTTGTTCCGTCTGTTCTTTCCTCTTCTTTTTCACTCTTTTGATTATGATGATAATCTATTTTTCTATTTTCTTCCTATCTATTTTTCTATTTCCTTCCTTGATGTGGATGAATTTTTAAATAATTTATTGTAAACTATGTCCTTATTACCTCGACCACCATGTATCCCCCCCACAGATTATACTATGGGCACCATTTCATTACTGCCTTTGTAAAATGTCTTATCTAGCAGTCTTACATATTGTGTTAACTTCACATGGAGATAAAACAATTTCCAATTGTTTTTTGTTATTTTATGAGTATGAAGTGATTGCTCTGAACATTCTGAAGGGAATTGTTCCTTGCATCCTGGAGGCTTCAAACAATGCTTTCTGGGACTTGGTCAGTGAGTGATCTTTGAAACTGTCCCCCCCCCCCCCATCGCTGGGAGCAGAATATCTAGCCCTAACTTTGTGGTCCCGGCTTGTTGTACTTCAGACTTTTGTTTCATTGGCTGCTTGTACCGGAATGTTTGCAACGGGTCTGGGGGGTTTGTTTTCCCTTTATATTCTTGAAAACTGCAGGAAGAAGCGTGTTGTTGTTTGCATGTGAAACGTGTAGGCTTTGCTGTCGTGCTGACTACACAGCTGAACCGTGCCGTGACAGAACGTGTGCTGAATGGTTGTTGTGTTGTGGTAGCTCGTGTCCACATATTTTCTCAGATGTTGATGGCAATTATTATTGTTTGGGTTTCAGTGGATTGCATTATTCATTTTTGACCCGTGTCTTGAATGTATTTTGGTAATCCTTGTATAATTGTTTATTTATTATTTATGCATGTAAATGTATTGGAAACTTTATTTTGTGTGCTCCTGGAAGAGCAATTTAGGCGGACTCCTTCCAGTCTGTTTCTTTTTGTTGTTTTAATTCTTGTAATTTTTGTTTCTATCTTTCTGTTCCTGTTTTTCTAAAAATTCTCGTTTTTATTCTTTCTACCTTTCTGTCCAAGTCTTTGCTAGAACATCCACATATTTAGTTACGTCAGATGATTTGAGTGAACAGGGGATCAGCTAAAGGATGACTTGAGAATTTTTTAGTTTGGCCCTGTCAGTACACCCTGGGGTCATTTTGTACCCCCGGGGTTGTATTCTTCACATTTTAGAATACTTCTAGTCGGAAGGTCTCTTTGGAACTTTCAGTATTTCTGAAAAAATCATTTGGGCAGACTGCTATGCAAAGCGTACGGATCGGATTAATGAGTAAATTTCCTCTGTGGAAAGTGGTGGCACAGAGTTTCCTATGTAGTTATTATACGATAGTAAAACAGGACATAATGATAGGGTTAAGTGGTGGCACAGAGTTCCCCACGTCGTATGGATACGATATTAGAACAGGACGTACGGATAGGGTTAAGTGGTGGCACTGAGTTCCCCACGTCGTATGGATACGATAGTAAAACACGACGTACGGATAGGGTTAAGATAAAAATGTTTATTACCATGAAGATGGTGTGCTTGCTGAGCTTAGTTCACGGTCAAGGAACCGGGTGAAAAAGAGATAATATGAAGAATAAAAAGATGAACCACCCGTGGGAACCTCTTTCTATGGGTGGTTGGCGGGTGCTCTGGTGTGGTTTGCTCCTTCTATCCTAAAAAAAAAAAATCTGTCTTCTCTATCTCCCCTCCTTCTCTTTTGTGTGTGTTACTCTCTTGTAACACTTCTAATATTTGGCACATATATGACCTTATTGTGTTTCAAGTGCCTTTAAACTCTTACTAAAACGAACCTCTTTGTGATAGCACCACCCACCAGTTGCTGACATGAAGGAATGAACATGAAAGAATGAAAGTGAAAGAATGAAGGAATGAAAGTGAAAGAATGAACGAACGCAACAAGTGTGCAAGGCCTAGGTTTGCAAAGTTTGAAGGTTGAGGGAACGGGAAACGCTAACAACAGACCTTTGAGTTTGCAGCTTGGTCAGCACACTTTAGGTTGAAGGGCTGCTTCGTCATAAGCCAACGCACCACGCTATCGCAGGAAACTGCTGCCATAGGGAACTGCTGCCTCTGTAGATATTATTATGTTCTCTCAGTATCAAGTATGTTCTCTCTGTATCGTTTATACATAGGCCAACACACCACGCTATCGCAGGAAACTGCCGCCATAGGAAACTGCTGCCTCTGTAGATAAGCCTCTGAATAGGCCGGGCCAGATGCCTCTTTGCAAAGGAAGACCATGGGGGAAGAAACGGCAAAGTCACATATTTTAAAAAATGTTGGGACTATAGTAGACCTGGTGAATTTTCTTATGTGTCAATATTTATTCCAAGACTTAAAATAGACAGGATCCCTCCCAACTTCTTTAACAGCCGCTCTTCTCCTGACAGAGAAAAAACCCATGATGAACTATAGATAAAAACTACCTTTGGAAAACCCATAGAGTGTTGGGTAGTTTTTTGTTCACCAAAACGGTGTAAAAACAAGCAAGGTCCTTTTTATAGGGGGAAAACAGCAATGTCCAAATTGCACACAACTTACAAAAGTAGGAAAAAAGGTAAATCTAAGTAAACAACAGGCTACTTTTTAATATTAAAAAATTGATTCATAACTGGATAGTGGTCTGACAATATCAAAGCACTGAATAATTCCTGTAATCATTAACATGCTGTGTCTTCCAACTTTAAAATTCCAATGTCTCAAAAATGTCCAAAATGTGAGCTTGCCGTTTCTTCCCCTGTGGTCTGCAAATGCTTGCACGTTGAAGGCAGGCGACTCTGCCGAGGGAGATGCTTCGCAAGGTGTGGGTTAGAACTCTTCCAAAGCTTTCAGAGCGGTAGATTGTCGTGTCAGTGTTGCTTGTAGTTTTATTGCCTTTGATCTATGCTCAACCTCACTAGTGTCTTGTATGGGTGGTTAGCGGGTGCTCTGGTGTGGTTTGCTCCTTCTTTTGTATCGAACCTCTATCGTCCTGATCTCTCCTCCTTCTTTTTTGTGTTTGTTACTCTCTTGTAACACTTCTAATCTTCGGCACTTATATGACTTTATTGTGTTACATGTGCCGTAAAACTCTTAATACTAAAACTAAACTAAAACGAGTGTTGTTGTTGTTTTTTTTTGTTTTGTTTTTTTGGGGGGGGGGGTAGGTGCCACTGGTAGGTCATATGGCTTTACCCTCACTCTTTCCTTTTTTTCATTTGTCTGTTAGTCATGATCTTTAACTTTACTTATCAAATGTGTGTTTTTTGTGATGTGATATGGGCCAATGGCCTTCAACACTGAATAAACTTACTAATCATGATCTTTCCAAGCACTAAAGGATTGTTGCTATATTGATGGGGTTTTGTTTCCTCAAGCTAAAAAGTTAAAAAATGTTTCCCTGATCATAATTTGGTGTTCACAAAATGTAGGTCATGTTGCTGTATGATCTAAGAGTGCATTTTGGTAGTTTCCATTACTGTTAGCGGATGGTTGGAGGGTGTCGCTGGTAGATCCTACCTCTTTACTGGCCCTTTACTGTTTCTGTCTATTTGTCTTACCCCCCCCCAGCGCTTAATGTCCATTATTGTGTTGATGTGATTATCTTTACTCTCTCACACACATACACACACACACACACACACACACACACACACACACACACACACACACACACACACACACACACACACACACACACACTCTTAATAGCTTTTATTGTGTCAATAATATGCTTCTCTTTACTCAAGCTAAGCCAGACTGTTACAGTTAAATTGTTAAGTTAAAAGAATGATTGCAAGTTTTCTTCCGTCTTAAACAGCTTCCTTCCTTCCTTCCATACTCCGTCTACAATCACTTGATCCTAATGTGTGGGAAGGTCTCCCATTGCCCCACCTAACCTAAAGTGCCCTATTTTATTATCATGTCGTTACTTTCTGTTGGAATGTTACTTTTTATAACATTTGACGTGTCATTCGAAGGGATCTGTTCACATTGTAAGTGTTTTTATGTATTTGTTTTTTTACAAAAGATTACATTTTTCTCCTTTCTGTTTTGCTGAATTTGCTCTCAGGATTTTTTCAGGTTATAAGAACTGAGGAGTTCACTGAAAAAATGGGCATAGTTGCAAACTGAAAATGGTGAGGGTATCCATTTTGAACGCTTGTTGACTCATAACTGTATTTCTGTTCAACTGTTGGTTGATTATTGTTGTTAGATTTCCCATTCAACAACACTTACCAATAAACCACCAGTCAAACAAATAGGAAGTTTTGAGTCCACAAGCTTTTCAAATTGACACCCTCACAATTTCCAGTTTGTGACTAGGCCCGTTTTTCCCGTGGGCTCCTCAAATATTACCTCTCTTCAGATTACTGTTGCATGCTGAAGTAATTGTAAATGGAATGATTGATCTAAAAACATGAATTACATGTACAACCAACTTTGTGGATGGTTGGCGGGTGCTCTGATGTGGTTTGCTTCTTCTTTCCTATCAAACATCTATCGTCTATTTGTCGACCCCTCCTTCTTTTTTGTGTTTGTTACTCTCTTGTAACACCTCTAATCTTCGGCACTTATATGACCTTATTGTGTTGCAAGTGCCGTAAAACTCTAACTGAAACTAAAATAAAATCTCTTCCTCTTTGTGCCCACCCACAGGTGCAGAGATCTCATCAAAGAAGTGGAGAAAAAGTCGCAGAAGGTGAGTGTGTTCCCCTGTCCTTTCTTCCTCCTTCTTTTGTGACTTTTATCTCTTCTGTCAATCATGTCTTTGACGGTGGGTGGCTGGAGGGTGCTCTGGTGTGGTTTGCTCTTTCTTTCCTACTAAGTATCTGTCGTCCTGATCTCTCCTCCTTTTTTGGTGGGTGGTTGGCGGATGCTCAGGTGTGGTTTGCTCCTTCTTTCCTATTAAACATAATATATCGTCCTGCTGATCTCTCCTCCTTCTTTTTTGTGTATGTTACACTCTTGTAACACCTCTATTCTTCGCCACTTATATGACCTTATTGTGTTGCAAGTACTGTAAAACTCTTACTAATACTTGAATATAATCTTTGACGTCAGAGATTGTCATTAAGCGTAAGATATTCCTTCACTTGTGTTTATGTTCCTGGGAAGAGTTCATTGTGCTCCCGTGAAAAGTGAGTGGATTAGATTTGGTTTGAGGAAAGTCTTTTTGTCTCTCTCAGTCTTAGAGCTTGTCTGCTTTGTTTTAGTAGAGGTTTTACGGCTCTGGCAACTGCATAAGGTCACATGAGCGCCAAGGGGTGGATGTCAACAGAGAAGTCCAAATGGAGAATCAGACTTACTCTGCTCACCTTTCTAGCCTCAACAGCATGAAGTCCGACTATCAAGGCACCCCGGGAATAGCAGTTCACAAGAGAGTGACAAACATACAAAAGAAGTAGAGGAAATGGACGATAGAAAGGATGAGGAAAGAAAAAGCAGCAGTTCCCCCTATGTTGTTCCGGCACAGCATGAGCATGACATTGATAAATCTGCCTATTTACAATTCTATTGTGCATAAGAACAGGTAAATATCCCCCATTTGGGAATGGCCTAAAGACACTTCAGTCGGAAAAGAAACACTGCCCGAGGGGGGGGGGGGGGGAGCTTGTCTCTTCATGCGTGGCGCAACGTTGCATCGCTTGTGATCCTTGCCACTCTAAAATCAATCAAGTTAGTTTGTAAAGAAACCGTCTCCTTACTCGCGACGTGATGTCTTTTCTCAAGCGACTGTCGCATGTGACCTGTCCACGTAGTGATCGAGGGTCTCGCCGCGCGCTACAGACTTTGTGGTGTGGCAGGTTTAGAGCATCACCATTGGTCAAAATACCTAGGCAAGGAGTGTTGGCCGACACGCCGTGTGTGTGTGTGTATTTGTGCTTTGTGTGTGTGTGTGTGTGTAGTATGGTCATCTTCAGTTCGACCCAATGCAAGTTTTGTGAATCTAATCCTGTTGTTTTGTTTTGTTTTTTTAACGGACAGCAGGAGGAGGAAGAGAAGGAGTAGGAGGTGGAAGAAGAGGAGGAGAAGGAGGGAGAGGAGGAGGACTTAACACGAGATTGGCGGTGTATGGAATAAAAAATGTCAGCGGTTCGTAGAAATCCCATCTGACGGACTTTGTACTTCCTTGTCCATCTTGACAATTTAAAAAATTGGCCAATGTCTTTCTTCTGTGAATTGCCAGTCGCATGCGGCTTAACGTCATGTTGCGTATAAGGAGACAGTTGTCGCTTTTGTTGCACGCAAACTGACAATTTTGGCGCGATGTCGTCGCGCATACGGATACACACCTCATGACTAATCACTAGCGACTGTCGCACACGACTAAACGTCGCGTCATGTCACGCATAAGGAGACATAGGCTTACACACAAAAGATGACACTGAGTTCCATGTGGGGATGTTTGTTTTTGTACAGCATCTCTAACTTTCTGTTGGGATCCCCAGGGATCACAGTTTTCCCGCGGATCCACAATTTTCCAACCCCCTGGGGCAGTGCTACTGACTGAAGTGACTTTAGGTCATTCCCAAAGGGGGAACATTAACCATGTTCTTATGCACAGTAGAATTGTAAATTGTAAGCAGGCTGATTCATCAATGTCATGCTCGTAACTGCCTGAACTGCGACGGGGAACTGCTGTTTTTTCTTTCCTAATCCTTACTATCGTCATTTTCCTCTACTTCTTTTTTATGTTTGTCACACTGTTGTGACCCACTATTTCTGGGGTGCCTTGATAGTCAAAGCAGACTTTGTGCTGTTGAGGCTAAAGAGGTGAGCAGAGTAAGTCTGATTCCCTGTAAGGACTTCTCTGTTGACGTCCACCCCTTGGCATTCATATGACCTTATGCAGTTGCGAGGGCCGTAAAACCTTGCTAAAACTTTTTTTAAACTCTCTTGTAATACCTCTAATCTTCGGCACTTCTATTGACCTTATTGTGTGGCTAATGCCGTAAAACTCTTACAAAAACTAACTGACCTAATTGTGTTGCAAGTGATGTAAAGAACACTTATGTAAAACAAAACCAAACACCAACAATGACTGTTTGGAACCGCCCCCAGGTGGATGAGCTACAGTCGGAGGTGAAGGTTTTGCAGACGACGGACGGAGCGCTGAAGCGAGAGAAGACCTTCCTGGAGGGACGCGTGTCGGAGCTGGACGGTCAGCTGCAGGTGGCTCAAGCCCAGGCCACGCAGGCCGCGGCCAAACTGGCCTCTTCGGCCGACAGCATGTCAGGTAAGTCGTCGTCGTTGCGAGCGCTGTAAAAACTCTATTAAAACTAAAAACTTTTAAGGTGAGTCGTCAGGCTCCGTTTGGTGCCATTTTGATTCTCCGTTCTCTTGAGACCGTTCTGAAGGTTGTTTCAAGCACTAAATATGTGGCCTAAGTGCGGGGAGGGGGGATTGGGGGGGTCTAGTGGTTAGGTTACCGGACTCAATCCTGAGGTTGTTGGGGGGGAAGAAACGAGAAAGCTATTTGAGCCACCTTGAATTCAAGTAGTCCTTGAAAACTAGAAAAATTCCTTGAAAACCCCTTGAATTTGCATTCTGTATGTGTGTGTATGTGCGTGTTTGTGTGTACGTGGTGAAACACCAAACCAATGTGCCAGGACTTGGACAATAAAGATGTACCTTATCTTATCCTATCTTATCTTACAATACACCATCACCAACACAATCGCCACCACCACCAACACCACACACACACACACACACACACACACACACACACACACACCCCTTCCCCCCACCAACCTCCAACACCGTGGGTGGTTGTCTTGTGCTCTGGTGTGGTTTACTCCTTCTTTCCTATAATAAATCTATCGTCTCTCTCTCCCCTCCTTCTGTTGTGTGTCTGTTACTCTCTTGTAACACCTCTAGTCTTCAGCCCTTACATGACCTTACTGTTTTGCAAGTGTCGTAAAACTCTTACTAAAACTAAAACAACCTCCACCACCCCATGCCTTCCTCCAACTCCCCCTCCCTTCCTCCAACTCCCCCTCCCCCTCCCCCCACCAGGAGACGCGGTGTACGCCCAGCTGAAGGAAGAAGCGACGTCTGCCCACGGCCAGGTCGACTTTCTCAACTCGGTGATCGTGGAGCTACAGAACAAGAACTCTGAGCTGGAGCACCGGCTGTCTGTCATGGAGGACTCGGGGATACACACCAACGGAGACTTCAGCGAGCCTGTCGAGTGAGTCAGGGGGGTGGGGGGGAGGGACGAATGAGAGAATTGTATGTTCAGGGTTCCTGCGGCCTCCTTGAATTCAATGAGTCCTTGAAAACTTGAAAAATGTCCTTGAAAACTTGTTCAATTTGCATTCAAGGTAAAATCTCTTTGAACTCCTTGAATTTAGGATTCAAGGTAAAAATCTCCTTGAATTTTGCATACAAGGGAAAAATCTCCTTGAATACTCCTTGAATTTTGCATTCAAGGGAAAATTTCATCGAAAACTCCTTGAATTTGCGTTCACGAAAAAAATCTCCTTGAAAACTCCTTGAATTTAGCCGGACCGGACATGAACAAAATTTTTGTCAGAAAATTGAAACTAAGATTCCTTTCGGACAAGTGTAAGCCTATCGGAAATAGGCTTTCGGCATGAATTTTTTTACCAAATCTCCTCAAATTAAAAAAATTTCTCCTTGAAATCTCTTTGAATTTGGTGGGGAGTTATGGCAAGAACCCTGTATATTTTTAGCCATTATAGGATCATTGGTTTTAATTTTGTGGGGGGGGGGATGTTGTTCTGCCTTTTTTCCTTTAAAAAAAATAAAAAGAACTGTAAATTTGTAGCCATTTTGGGATCATTGGTTTTTAATTTCTTTAAAAAAATTTTTTTTAGATAAAGCACCTAACTTTCTACACGTATACGACCAATGAATGTTTTGAACGTGCGGTAAAACTCGTACAACTAAAACTAAAAATGACGATTGTAATGTCCATGTACCTCTCTTTACCCCCCACCCTAACATTGACTTTGTGAGTGGTCGGCGGGTACTCTGGTGTGGTTTACTCCCTCTTTCCTTTCAAACTTTTATCATCCTTGTCTCCCCTTCTTTTTTTGTGTGTGTGTGTGTTACTGTCTTCTGCACTTATATGACCTTATTGTGTTACAAGTGCGAAAAAACCCTTCACAAACTAAAGCTAAAAATGGACACTATTATGTCCATGTCCTTATGTTTACACCCCACCCTAACACTGACTTCGTGGGTGGTTGGCGGGTGCTCTTGTGTGGTTTGCTCCTTCTCTCCTATCAAACGTCTATCGTCTTTATCTCCCCTCCTTTTTTGTTTGTTACTCTCTTGTAACACCTCTAATCTTCGGCCCTAATATGACCTTATTGTGTTGCAAGTACAGTAAAACTCTTACTAAAACTAACACTGACTTCTCCTCCCGTCCAGCGTTCCAAGGGTGTCCCGAGCCCCGCCGCGTCTGTTCTGCGACATCTGCGATGTGTTTGACCTCCACGACACAGAGGACTGCCCCAAACAGGCAATGTCGGAGAGCCCTGAGCCCACGCGTCACCACGGTGACCGCAACAACACCCGGCCCTACTGCGAGATCTGTGAAGGTGAGTGCGCAGAGCTTAGAAATGCGAGGCTGCCCGTTAACCCGATCCGTACGTCGTGTTTTACTATCGTATCCATACGACGTGGGGAACTCTGAGCCCCCACTTTCCAAAGAAGAAATTTACTCGTTAATATGATCCGTACGCTTTGCATAGCAGTCTGTCAAAATGATTTTTTGAGAAATACTGAAAGTTTCAAAGAGATGTTCGTACTAGAAGTATTCTAAAATGTGAAGAATACAACCGCGGGGGTACAAAAATGACCCCAGGCGTACGGATAGGGTTAAAACACCATATCTGTCCCTGGAGAAAGTTGCAAATTGGATGAAATTGTTCAGATTATTACCCCGGCAGACCTGGTAGCCTTCTGAAACATTCTCAACTTCTCTTTGATTTTTTTTCCTTTTTACAGAACAATGATCCCTATCACCCCTGATTTTTTGTCAAAAGATTATTTGTGGGTATCCGAAAAATATCGGGATAATATCGTAGCTTTTTGGAGAGCATCCGAGCAAAGGCGTTGTTGGAGAACCATGATCGCCGATGTCTGTTGCAGATTTTGCACTTAATGATGATGATGATTTGTGGTTGGACCACCTCAGCCCAGCCTGTCTCCCACACACACACACACACACACACACACACACACACACACACACACACACACCCCAGTGTGTAAAGAAGAATACCAAGCAGGCCACACCAGTCTGCGTCACTAGGTTATGTGTTTAGCTGTGACACCCTGTGTACATAGAGCTCTTGTGGTCGCTCACTGCCACTTTGCCCTGAGAAAAGCTTTAGTTGAGCCATTGCCAAGAGTAAGACAAACACCCCTGGGGTGGTGCTACTGACTGAAGTGTCTTTAGGCCATTCTCAAAGGGGGGCACATTAACATGTTCTTATGCACAGAAGAATTGTAAATTGTAAATGGGCTGATTTATCAATGTCATGCTCATACTGTGCCGGAACAACAACATAGGGGGAACTGCTGCTTTTTCTTTCCTAATCCTTACTATCGTCATTTTCCTCTACTTCTATTGTATGTTTGTCACACTCTTGTGACCCACTATTTCGGGGGTGCCTTGGTAGTCGAAGCAGACTTTGTGCTGTTGAAGCTAGAGAGGTGAGCAGAGTAAATCTGATTCCTGTAAGGACTTCTCTGTTGACATCCACCCCTTGGCGCTCTTATGACCTTATGAAGTTGCGAGCGCCGTAAAAGCTCTACTAAAACAAACAAAAGAGTAAGGCAAACATTAGTGGGAATGAAAGAAAACTGATCATTGTTTGATGGAAACAGCACATAGCATGGTGTTTAGTGATGAACTATAAAGATGAAAGGGGTGTCGCGCTTTCTGTCGGTTTCTTTTGTCGGATTTTTTTTTTTAAAGAGTCAAACCGACAGTCAATAAGTACTCCCTTCTGTACAGGGGGTATAAGGTAAGATAATACTTTATTATCCCTGAGAGAAATTTTTCTCAGCTGTACAGGACCGTAAAAACACATGCAGGTATACTTAGAAATTTAAATTATATATGTGAGGCAGCGTAGTGGAGTCAGGCTCTCGTCAATTTTTGGGCATGTAGAGTTATTTGTATCATCTTTAAGCTTGTTCACTTGTCTTTATTTGGATGGAAAAAATATCCATTTATTTTGAATACAAATCGAGATATTTGCGAAAGAAGGAGGTGGGGGTCACCTGTTTTCAGAAGTAAAGTTAGTGAGAAAATGCCCGCCAAAGATTAGTTATTTCCTTAGCTTAAGAGTCCGTTGTAACTGAAAATTTATATTTTTGTGCCTTTAATCAAAGCTTTTCATAAAAATCCACACAGAAATGAGCTCTTTAACGGGCATGAAAGGTGTCGAGCCAAAAAACAAAAGTTTGATAAAAATTCACAAACCTGCGGAAAAATGCAAGTTTCTTCACTTTGATTATTTTGATGAAAAATGCAAGTTTCTTCACCTTGATTATTTTGATGAAAAATGCAAGTTTCTTCACTTTGATTATTTTGATGAAAAATGCAAGTTTCTTCACTTTGATTATTTTGATGAGAGCCTGATTCACTCACATATTACTCTCATTGAACGTAATTATGTATATATTACTCTCATTAAATGTGTGTGTTCAAAATGTTGGATGGGCATGTAATAAGACCAAAAATTGTTTCTGAAGGAGGAAGAGGTATCCCATTTTTTTTATGAGTATAGGTGGAAAGTCATCAAACTTATATTTTCTTGTCTCCTGTAAGATTAGCTTTTCTGGAATGGTTTATTTTTCGTTTTACAGAACGCCATTGGTATGTCATAGTTCTCCGTTAAACGCTTGTTATCAATCGTCCTGTATCTGATTTGTTCTTTTCAGCGTTTGGCCACTGGACTGATGACTGTGATGATGAGCAGATGTTTTAGCCGAGGATTGCGTCGATGACAGCTTGGGGAGAAGTACAGACAAAATTCGCCAAGTGCTGAAGGTGTACAAGACATGCGACCTGTCATTCACTGCGAGTGTCCAGCGATGATACGCCCATTTCGTTTATGGTGTGCAAAAAAAGCCTGCTTTCAAAGATGGAGAGAAGTAACAACAGAAGAAGGGTGTGTCTTGTGTGTGGAAGGAAATTCAGGGCAACTGTGGAAAAAACAGGACAAAAATATGACAACTGTTTTTTCACACCACGCCGCCTTGTGGAAGATGTTGGGTTTGACCTCAGTGTTTTCTTTTCGTATCTCCTTTTTTAATAACAGTGAAAACAGTTCTTAACTAAAAGTGAGCTTAAGAAGAAGTCACATTTTCAATGTTTAAAGAAATGGAGATCAGACAAGAAAGCGCTGAGGTCGCGATATATACTGTCTTGCCGTACATTGAGGGTCCTTTGAAGTGGAAATGTTTGAGGTGGATTTCAAAATGAATTGATGTCGGGGGAGAGCTCCATCGTGTGAATAGCTTGAGGATTGATTGAATTGACCACCATTTAACTATCGATTATTGGAAAGAATATTCTGCGAGTATCAACTGGATGAAGAGATTGCTGTGTGGAAAGAATAAACGACATCTGCGGTAATTTGACCCGTCGTGCGGGATGTGTGTCGTGTTCATGCTCCTATCTCTGTGAGAAGTTACGTTTTCCGTGGAAGTTTTCCAATCTCTGAGGATCTGGTTCTAGTTTCTGAGTTGAAGAATGCAGTGTTGGTTTTATTTAGTTTTGGTTTGTTGTTTGTTTTTTTGTTTTTTAGCTTGGTATAAATGTGTGTGGTCTTAACCTGACCGTATCGTCCTGTCTTGAAACTTTTGTTCTGCTCTTTGAGTTTCAAAAACGTTTTGACAATATTGAAAGACATTTTCATTTCCAAAACAAGATTTTCAAGACAGCCGTTCTCATTTTGAACAAGTTCCAAGTGGCTTTTAATTTATTTCAACGGTGGCATTAATTCTTTTCTTGTTTCAAGAAAATTGAGAGTTATTTCCTTTTCTCTGTTTTTTTTAAATTTGCCCCTGAAACCAAATGGCCATTCTGCCCAGGTTCAGTTTTTATTATGTCCTGTCTATTTGTGTACGTTCGTTGGCTTTCACAGGAGCGGTCATTACTAGCTTATATATAGTGCATGTAGATCCCACCATTATTTTATCGGTATTTGTACTCAGTAATATTAGAAACATATCCTAGTGGAATAAGATCAAGTAATATCCTCCTATTCTTAGCTGAAATATTCTCATGCTCATGGATATCCCACACATTCACACTCTCTGGTATTGTCTTATGTCAAGGTGGATTGTAAGTGCAATACAGTTTCCAGTTTTTGAATTTTTTTAAAGTGCATAAGTTAGAGGGCGTATATTGATTGAAGTTTAACGTGGCTTCATGTCATAAATTACAACTGGTGTGACCCCCCCCCCCCCCCCTCCCTGCCCTTAAAAAGACTGGTGACAAAGAGGTTTTTAAGAATAATTTAATAGACACCACACAAATTTATTTCCTTAACGCTTTGCCGTCACATCTCACAGATCAGTGATGTTTACCACGCGTTTTTTTTTAAATTTTCCCCAAAATTCATTTTCCTTTGATGGCAGGTATTTTAGTGTATGAGCCTTGTGGTGGCCAAGTGTTCGGCCGTCTCTACTCCCCCAAGGAAACTTACATGGACTTTGTAGGAAGAACTGGCGCAGGAGCTCTGACTTTTGTGTCTCGCAATATTGAATGTTTTTTGCTTTTGCTCGGGGTGAGGGTTTGTGTTTGGAACTCGGGTTAAATTTTTATTTTAAAAGTGTTTTGCTAAGAGGCAATATTGTTACGTCGCTCAATGTCTATATATTCTGTGGTTTGAAACGAACCTCCACGTTTTTTGTTTCTCGTCATGTTTGTTGTGTCTGGTTTTTTGTTTTGCTGCTCTGGACTGATGAAGGTTTGGTTCTGCTTTATTCGGTTTTTGTTTCTCCTTATCATGTCTTCCTCGGTTTTGTTCAAAGCTAAAATTGTTTGTTTTTTTTAATTTGATTCTAGAGAATGATTTCACTTCCTAAGTGCTCATTTTCTTCACTGTGTTTGGGCTCTGTCTTAATGAGCGAGTTGTCTATACATGTGTCGCTTGCTGTTGTGACATTAAGTTGAAGGATGCATACCTGTAAGTTTCCCGACATTTTTAAGTCAAATTTTCAATGATGTTATAAAAAGTGAAATTGTTGCCAGCAAGTGTCCAAATTGAGTATAGACCACGCATTTAAGTTTTTTAAAAAGCACACGGTGTGTGAATTTGTAATTGAAGTCCAGCCCAAATTGTTCTAGTTCTTTCTGTAATATCCCCCCCCCATCCTTGGTTCTGTTTCCTGTCAGGGGATCAAGAAGTCCCCCTGGAAAGTTATTCTACGTGTGTGGTGGTCTAGGGGGTAGTGCAACTTCAACCAATGGGAAAATGAATGCCGGTTTGTCGCTTCATTCCTTACATGTCAACATATTACAGCTGCCATTTGCCTTTTCAAAAGTTCTGACAATTATCTTATATCAAAGGACCCCACAAGTAATGTACAATGATAATGTACAAGTAATCCTACAATATAGGAGGGGAAAATGAACGCCAGTTGGTCGCTACAGTTGTTACGTAGCAGCAACGTATTACAGCTCTCGTTTGCCGTATCGAAAGTTCTGACGATAATGTCAAGGGTCCCTTACAGGTATGGAACTTCTGAGATCCTCGGTGGATTGACTTCTTTGTTGTGTCTGAAGAGTGGAGCGACGAGGTCACAGTGGAGCTACGAGGTCACAGAATATTTGTCATGTACTATAGGCCTACTTGTTCCTTTTTTTTTCCGAAATAAAATTTGCTGTGATATTTTTTTGCTCTCTAATTTGAAACTGGACACGGAAGATGTTTCTCTCAGTTTCGCTAAAAATGACAGATGTGTTGATTCATGTCGGTTATTACATGTGGTCAGTTTTACACTTCTATCATTGTGGCGAGTTAGGCTTTTGAACTCTCTGGTGTTGGAATCAACGACATCTAGACAGAAGGAAGAGATACAGGGTTGTAATGAATTTGAAATACACTTGTAATGAACTCTTGATTGATTTGGTGGTGGGGACTGTGAAATTATTGTACACAAATTGATCTTTGTATTTTTTCTGTACCAATAGGACATTGATACCTCAGTGGGAAAGAAGGAAAAGAACTTTTTTTTTCTGTACAATATTGACTTTGATGATATTAATTAGGGTTAATGTTGCCCTTTTCTAGAACTATCTCGATGCGTCTCGTCTCGAATGTATAACTTATTTGGGGTTGTTTTTGGGGTTTTTTGTAAAGAGAGCAGAAGCTGGTGAGAGTAGCTGGTGTGAAGGGGTAATATTTTCCGTCACTCTTGACGACTGCCTCATGTTTGTTTCTGGATCTGTCTGCCACTCAGACGGGAGACGATATCTCAGAGCTTTCTCTTTGCGCCCCCCCCCCCCCCTGCAATATATAGCTCTCTCAGGTTGTTCAGTCACTTCTGTAGACGCTGGTCGGAACAATCTTTTTTCTTCTTTCTTTTTTAAAGATAAATGTGTGTTAGTGAAGAAAGCTTGATATCGTGTTACAGAGTTGGGGTCGTTACCAGAGGTTCCCGTTCATCCAACATTTCCATGTCATTTTGAAGAACGTAGTTGCAGTCAGTCGTCCATTACTTGTTTTTTGACGTTCGTGTAATTTAATTTGACTGGAAAAAAAGTGACTGATGCCTGCAACTGATACATTTCATTTGTAAATATCCCGATTCTTGCTCATTTACCCCTGGTGAAGGAATATATCAGCTGGTAATGTAACTAGTAGGTGCTATGTGCTAACTATGGGTAAGAAAAGTGCTGGTTTTCACATTCCTCTCCGTGCTGTTGTAGAGAACTACTGCCCCGAGTCCTCGAATCCCCTGGATATATATATACATTAAATACGTATGTGTGCATGATGAACATTGTTACTTTCGTTTCTTTTCCTAGGGACTTGGAACCTAGAATGCTAACGAAGTGAATTTTTTTTTTTTTAAATAAATGTTAGTCGTTGATTTTATTGGTGTGGTGTAGTGGTTTGGCTCTGAGTTTGTCGTGAAGGGTTCGCCTCACCACTGCAGGGAACGCCGGCTGTTAACTACTACTGTATCTTTTATTCATGGATAAAATTTTACGTTTGGTGTTTGTACATCCAGATAGGAACTCTGCGTACAGTGACATTCTGCGCGAGTTCAGGATAGTTTTCCCCCGCGGCGTATGCTCTCTCAGTCTCTTGGTCTCAACGTTGCCTGTTGTCCTCCTGTTGCAAGTGGTTCCTGGTATTGCTATGCAAAGGGGAAATGGTACAACAGTTCAACAGGGACCCATCCTTTTTTATTGTAAGACGTTTACTTATTATAAATGTATTTTTATCATTATAATTGATCATGTATTTTTATGACAGCTATTTCTTTATGATTTTTTTTTTTTTGTGGCCCCCAAATGTTTAATTTCTTTCTAAGCAGATATTTTACTGTCCTCCATGGAAGTGGAAGCTTGTCGTCTTTCTTGTCTGACATGATGAATGTTTTCTTCTGGTTCAAGAGGCGTGAATATTTGGAAGGTTTGACTGGTTAGTTTTTTTTGTCTTTTCCTTACTCCCAACCCCGTGAACGTTTTGGCGAGCAGAGAGAGTGGTGAGGGTGTGTCTGTGAGGTGGTAGTGTACTATAGATTGCAGCTGTTGACTGGTGTTGAGTGTGTTGTTTGATGAAGGAAGACACAGTTCTACTGGTGGTCAATGTATTGTTGGATGAAGGAAGATGCAGTTAATCTGAAGAGATGGGGGGAGGGGTGCAGTGTTTTTTCCATGTCTTGTCAGCGTTATTATTCTAGAGTTTTTGGTGAAATGTGACTGTTCTTCAAAATGACAGTACATCTTCCCCACCCTACATTTCCCCACCCCACCCCTAAGTTAGTTCTGTACAAGTGTCACCTTTAGGGTATGTGAAAGAGAACAATCACTGCTGTAACTGTGGAGAGAATTTTGTCTTTTTCAAGATCAAGATGCAAAATGGCTGGTACAAAGTGACGAATTCTACGATGAAACGATTCGAGAAGCTTTTAGTTTTTGTTACAATTTCTAATTATGGAACACGGAGCTCTACATTTAGGTGTCGGTGTAATGGGTTTGTTTTAATCCAAATCTGAAGAAATGCTCTAGGAAATGATGTCTCTCTGGTTCAGAGAAAAATGTTAATGAAAAGGCGCCAGCAGATTGAGTCAGTTTGTTTTCCGTTGCTTGTGTGAAATCAGGTTTCTATAGTTGCTCATTTTGTGACAGACAACACCCCCCCCCCCCCCCCCCCCCCCCGTCTTCTCGCCAGTCGCTCATTTTAATGGTTTGATGGTTTGTCTTTGCTCTGAATGCTCCCTAGTCTTGTTGGATAAGTTGATCTTCAGGGAAATTTTTGCTCACCAAAGACAGAACGAATGTCTTGTCAACCGCTAAAAGTTCAACGAGTGCACAAACTGGTGGAGTCTGTTTTGTTTTACACGGGAATACTGTTTGTAGAATGAGTGAAAACCTTTGGAAGTTTGGGGGGGGGGGGGTTCTTCTCGATTTGTTGTAATTTGAGGATTGAGTGTGAAGACTGTTAAGAAGTTTGAGACATTTTTGGTGCAATTGAGTACTGGAAGTAGGAGAAAGGAGAGTGATTTGACGATGGGTGTTTTCTCTTTGTTGTGTCGAGTCTTTCTGTCCAGTTTGTGGAGAGACTTATGGTGTTATTTCTACGATGTCTAGCTGTTTTTAATGCCCGAAAGGGATGTCAACACAATGCCAAAAAATTTGTATGGGTTTCATGATTCTCTGTTGTTGTTGTTGTCGTTGTTGTTGTTGTTGTTGTCGTTGTTGTTGTTGTTGAAAGTGTAGTGAGAAAGTCTAACAGTGTGCAGATGTTTTGTCGTGTCGAAGTAACCGGGTCGTAGACCCCGGAGAACAAAGGATCAATGGATTCGTCATCATGTTATTTATGCCCTTGACAGTGTGACTATGTGATGCGTACACCGTGCGTGGGGATGGGCCGCCCTTCGGAATTTTGTGGAACTTTGGATTGTAACTTCTCAAGCTAGGGGCGTTGTGTAATTTGACGGGTAGGACTTTTGGATTAATACTTTGCAGTCACTTGACACAATAATGCGCCTGTGAGAATTATCTGTTCCAGTCACTTCTGGGCCAGGCCCATGAAGTCGGTTGCAGTCACTCTCCTGGCTGGGTGACCAGATGGAGGTATTTTGTATTGCTCGCTGTGTGACTGCAGAGTGTTAATGTTGTCTTAAATGTTGTGAATTTTTGTACTGGTGTTTTATTTCTAGTGGTTAGGTGCTGGACTTGTTATCAGAAAGTTGTGGCTTTGCTGCTCGGATGAGTTGTGGACAGAATGATTGAAAGATTGAGATACTGTCCCCGTTTTTCTTTCCAGCCACAAGTCAATACTTCATGGTTGTTGGAGATGAAGTTTGTGAAATATGAGTGGTGGGGGCCTAACAGTCTGCGATGCTGGATGTCCCCATTGGGAAAGAGAGGTGTCAATACAATTACAATTACAAGATATCCTGAAGTTTTTGTTTTGTGATTGTTTTTCCTGAACTGAAGTTTTTTTGGGGGAGATTGTTTTTCCTGAAATTTTTGTTTTGTATTTTGCGATTTTGTTTTGTGTTTTGTGATTGTTGTTCCTGAAGGTTTTGTTTTGTGATTGTTGTTCCTGGACCGGGGGGTGTGCCCATCCCTGACGGTACAGTCAGTAGGTGTGAACTGTGCTTCTAACTGTAACATAAAGCAAACGTAATTTATTAACCTGTTCCCGTGCTCATCATAGACACTTTGGGTGTTGAGCCCGTTTGATTCATGCTGTCCTTTTTGCTTGTGATCATGATTACTGTGAGACAGATGGGGGGTTTTGCTTGTGATCATGATTACTGTGAGACAGATGGGGGGTTTTGCTTGTGATCATGATTACTGTGAGACAGATGGGGGGTTTTGTTTGTGATCATGATTACTGTGAGACAGATGGGGGGTTTTGTTTGTGGAGGTTTTTTTTTGTTTTTTAACAAAAGTTGTTGATGATCTTTCGTCAGCAACTAATTTTTGTGGAATCCTACTGTGTTTTAGTTTTGCTGAACCTCAGTTGGTTTGGGGGGGGGGGGGGGGGTTCATGTCATGTGATTATCAGGTTTGAATCTGGTCACAAGACATAAAATTGTTTTATTGTAGGCCCACTGCCTGACTGCCGTCAGCGTAGAAGCTGTCATGTGGTCGCCTTTAAGCACAAGGGGGCTATCCAGAAAAATGCTGTTTTGAGAAAGTCGAAGGTAAAGTTTTTGCCCCTTGTTCAGTTTCTTTAAAAGACAAAGAAAGTTTTCTCTATAACCAAACAAATATACATACCAATGAAACCAAACTTCTCCTATAGATAGGGCTATTCCCACTTTTGGTGTAAGTCAAGATTTCTGGAACCCCCCCAAAATCTGGGTTAGCCCGCTTGTCCTTAAAAGTGACCCTATATTGTGTCTACTGGGCTAAATAACAGGCATTTTTGTATGTTGGGCACATACATATGTACATACATAAGACTACTACATTGAGACTAAATGCACCCGGTAGAGTGTGCTGTTGGCTTGGGTCTTTTCTGAGTGCTTGGCTACACGATGGCTTCAGAGTTACACTGCGCTGAGTTAGGGTGGATAGTTGGCTACACGATGGCTTCAGGGTTACACTGCGCTAAGTTAGGGTGGATAGTTGGCGGGTGCTCTGGTTTGGTTTGTTCCTTCTGTCCTATCAAAAATCTGTCATGTCTTTCTCCCCTCCTTCTTTTTTGTGTTTGTTACTCTCTTGTAACACCTCTAATCTTCGGCACTTATATGTCCTTATTGTGTTGCAAGTGCCGTAAAACTCTTACTAAAACTAGGGTCGCACAACGCTGAGTTAGGTGAGTGGTACTGTCCCTTTTTACCCTTGTCCCATCTGGAGGCTAACAATTTACACGTCTTTGCTGTCGCTATAAACATTTTGGTGGCTTTTTTGTAATTTTCCCTGTGTAAAGCAGGGTAAGACGGAAGTTGCTGGGGGTTTTTTCTTGTGACATCAAAGATTTGTGCAGTGATAGGATTTCAGTGTGGAGATAATGTGTGTCTGTGTGTGTATGTGTGTGGTGGGGGGGGGGGGGGGGTTCTTTTTTCTCTCCCTCCTGCTGGGATTTGTTGTAAAACAGCTGTAGGTGGACCTCCTGTCTCTCGTACCTGAAAGCTTTCCTGGAAGTTAATGTGTCCACGTCTTTGACACTTATTCTTTCTTTCACAGGGGACGAATAGAATACATATGTAGGCAGGGTTTTTTTGTCAGTGTTTCTTTCTCCTCATCTAAAGGAATCTATCAAGAGTTTGGACAGATTGTTTATTACTTGATGGCCTAGGTCGCTAGCTGTGTGTGTGTGTGTGTGTCTGTGTGTATGTGTGTGTGTGCTGCTAAACGTCATGGGTCTCAAGTCTCACACAGTTGGCTTGTAGAAGAATCTGTTTCTCAACTGTTGTTGGGTTTGTTTTGTTAGTTGGTATTTTGTGTCCCCCCCCCCCCCCCTTCCCTGAGTGTTGTGACTTCCATTCTCAGCTACTGCTGTGTTTCTGAATGGAACTCAAACCTGCATCCTCCATCTCCTACTCCTACATTTCAATTTTATGGTTGCTATACGGTAGCAGTTTATGGTGGGGTTGTTGTGTTGTTTTTTTCTGATAATGAAAATGAAGTGTGGACCCCCTGTTGATGAGTACGATGACCTAACCTCACAATTGACGTTTGCCGTTAACACACTGGATAACGCATCGCGCCCTCTTTTCCCATGTACTGCTGTGCTTGTGTGACACAGATTTCATCCCTTTGCTCGTCTGCGTGCGCGTTTCCTAATGAGCCTAAAATATCCTGCTGTTCCTCACAGTTTCCATGCTTGTTTGTACGTACTTCCAACTTCCAACCTTGACTCTGTTTATCTTTTCCTAATGAAAAAGTTGAACATTGTCGAGAGGAGAGCTGATACATTTCTTCTAATTGTGCTTGGTCAGTTGACTTCAGTACAAATTTCTAAATGTGCATTGTCAATTAACGTCAGCACAAATTCCTAATTGTGCATGGTCAGTTGACTTCGGTACAATTTTCTAACAGTGCATGGTCAATTGACTTCAGCACAAACTTCTAATTGTGCATGGTCGGTTGACTTTGGTACAAATTGTTGGGTGTCATTTTTTGTGGAAAGAGTTTGTTGAGATGGGTCAGCTACGACCAGTTATAGTGCGGTCAAAAATTCGTTGGCTTTTTCCTCAAATATCTTTTTAACGGGTAAGTCAATGTCATCCATACTTTGCACAGCAGTTTGTATCAGTTTGTTTCAACTTATTAATCCTATTTTTCCCTTATGCAGTTGCGAGCGCCTTAAAAACTTCTACCAAAAAAAAATCATATTTTTCCGCGACAATTGAAGCTAGATTTAAAAACTTTCCTTTATAAAGTGATATAAAATACTACTAATCTCCTTCACGCAGAAAATGGAATTGTTCAATGCACTTCCCGCTTCTCACACACATTTTGTTACATTTTGTATACGTATATGGCCTACGTCACAGCTCGTCAAGGACACTTTTTTGTAGCAAAACTAGTTACAAGAAATTAATTTTATAGTGAACACTTGTTTGCACGAAAAGTTCTCAAAAAATGCGTTCAATAAAGATAATCTCGCGATTAGAAAAAAATGACAGACTTGATTTTAAAAGCGATATCATCCTTGCTGTAAACCTAAAATCACAAGAAACAAAACCCACTGGGATTTTTAATTAATATTTATTGAGGAATTTTCTAGAATAGAGCTGTTGTTGTTAGCGATCCAGTTAGAATAGAGCTAACAGGTGTTTACCAAAATATTGATCTGTTATAACAAATTGATACAAGTCAGTGTGCAAAAGCTGGAGAGTTTATGTTTGATAGTTGAGGAGATATTTGACAATAAGTTGTGCCACGAATTTTTGTCCGTACTATAGTGGGTCTGTGCCTCTGACTTTGGCATCTCAGGACTGCTTGGTCTGACGGCGTGTTGGTCTCAAGGCGTGCTGGTCTGAAGGCGTGTTGGTCTGAAGGCGTACTGGTCTGAAGGCGTGTTGGTCTGACGGCGTGTTGGTCTGAAGGCGTGTTGTTCTGAAGGCGTGGTGTTGGTCTGACGGCATGCTGGTCTGAAGGCGTGTTCTGTCTGGGTTATTTTAAAAGGAGGTGCTCTGGGAATGAGTTAGTCCAAAGTGGAGATGTTTGACTTATTTCAAGTACAGGGATGTGAGTTTTCACCAGTGATCTGGGTTTTTTTAACGAAAGCTTGATAAGTTATTGGATTCTGTCGTCACGTCTGAGATACTTTCACTGTTGATTGGACGTCTCTCGTGCACACCCTGGGAGGGGCGTGGCATTGTTGTTGGATGTTGTGACATGACGAGTTTTCCATGGTTTGATATGTTTGTTGGTTTGTTTGTTGGTTTGTTTGTCGCTGGACGATGTTGGGCTCCCTTATAGAACGATACTGCTCTTTTTCTTACAGCTCTTACACACTACATCCCGTATGCAAGTTCTTGCGGACACGCACACACACACA